GAACTCTATCCTTGATTTCTCTCACCTCTGCCCTCCCAATTCAGTCACCAAGTCCTGCCACTTCTACTTCCTGAATTCCATCCATGCTGGCAATACCCTAGTATAGGCTGCCATCTTCTTTCCCCTGGATTACTACAATGAGGTCGTAACTGGTTTTCCTTCCTTCAGTCTTGCCACTCTTCAATTCTATTTTCTCATAGCAGCCAGTCATCACCTAAATACAAACCTAATCTTGTTGAAGCCCTTCAAACTTCCTATTACTTTTAAGAAGTCCAAATGCCTTAACATGACTAGTAATCTCTTCATGATCTGGTGCCTCTTTACCTCCCCAGCCCTGTGTCTAGAATCTCTGTTCCTAGGCTGTGCTCTCCTCTTATGTCTGGGCCTTCACAGTTGTTACCTCTTTCTCGCCCTCCACCCTTTAACCTGGCCAATTCCTAGCTATTCTCCTGCATGGAGCCACTCAGACTAAACCACAATTTTTTTTTTTAATTACTTGTCTCCCTTCCCTATGAGAATATAAGATCTATTAGGTCAATTATTAGATTGATTATTACCACATTTGCTTGCTCATTATTATACTTCCAGTACCTAGCTTAGTGTCTGGCATAAAATAAGAGTATCAATAAATATTTTTGAATGAATAAATCTATACCTAGAAAGTCAGAAGGAAAGTCAACTAGTTCAGACTGTGGATTAGGGAAAGGCTTCTTAGAAGACATCTGAAAAGTAAGTAAAGAAAGTAGGGATCAGGCAAAGAAAATCAAGACAGTCCAGACAGAGTCAACAAGAATAAGAAAAGGTCTCAAAGTATAAACCAGCCTCATGAATGGGAAGTGGGTGTGATGGGAGATGACAGTGGAAACATAAACAGTGGCAAGATCATGGAGGTCCCAGGGTGCAGGCTATGGAGTTGGACTTTGTCTTGGAGGTGATGGTGGGAGGGGTTGTAGAAGTTTAACCAGACCAGTGAAATAGTCAGATTTACATTTAAGACTGATCATTACAGCAGCTACTTAGAAGACAAAGTGTGGGATGCAGGTGAGGGTTGTAAGGTTGGAGGCAACAGTGAGATAGATTGGGCAGTTGAAAAAAAGAAAGGGATAAATTAGGATTTGAATGGCTCACGAGCCCTCCCAAATGAATCTATCTAGTAGGCAAGGAAATACAAATCTGAATCTCAAGGAGGAAGTCAGAGATAGCAGTAGTTTTTGGATCCTTGAGCAAGTAGATTAAAACAATGAGAATGGATGGTACTCTGAAGGAGATTTATGCAAAAAAAAAAAAAAAAAGAAGAAAAATCAAGGTTGAAACTTATACTGTATAAAGGGCAGGCAGAGAAAGAGCCCCCTAAGAAGCACGAGATAGGCAGAAGACACAGGAGAGAAGCAAAGGGACTTGGGTTTCAAGGAGGGTCTGATTAATGGTGTCAAATGTAGCAGAGAGGTCTAGAAAGAGGCACTGATCAATAGCACAGGAGAAGTAGGCACTATTCATCTTCTGAGATCAATAAGAGAGAGGCATATAAATGTGGTGGTAAGGGAAATGGGTGGGCAGGAAGTTAAGGAATATGTTGCATGATGGCTTGAATTTTCTCAATTAACTGGGAACGAGGTTGCTGGAAATGTCTGTGGCCCCTGGGAAATCTCTATATTCAAATAAGTGGGTGCTTGATGGCAAGGAGGGTGTAGGACCCAGTCTGAGTATTTCATCTATTCCTACCACACTAGACCAAGTGAATCAACTGTTCATCCTCACTGACCCACTTAAAACAAAGCAGAAACAACAATCTGGAATTCTTGTCACTTAAAAAAAGAGATTTAAAAAATTTTAACCAAAAGCACTAGCTACCACAGGACCGCCACCTGAATTAAAGATAAAGTCCTAGCTGCAGGCTGCCATGGTCTCACTGAGCATCCCATCTTGTCAGTCAAAGGTCTGCTCAGTCCTTACAGGTCTGTCATCCAGGATCTAAAGTGCAATCTAGAAAAGGAACATGGAATTAAAATTAGAAAAGAAACTGGCATAAAGGTCGCAGATGCATGTGAATGTGTGTTAAGTGCTTGAAAACATATCTTTTACACTACTCTAGTCACCTTCGAATAAAAAGAGAAGTTGAAACTGAGGACGAAAGTAGTTATGAGAAATCACTGCAAGTTATAAGACAGGGAACTGACAAATGATAAAGGAGTGTCAAGAATTGGTGGTGAGCTGAAGCTGCAGATCAAGAACCTGTTGCACATCACTTTGTGTGATTTTCTCCAGGGTGCCCAGCTGGGGATTTATGGGACAGATTCAGGGTGGGATTTATGGGACAGATTCAGGGTTAGGATTTTGACAGGCACTGGGGTCAGAGGCAAGGGATGCAGGGAGTTTGGATGTTGATAAACCATGCAGTCTAGGCTGGGAAGGGAGGTAATGGCAGGAGAGCTTACAGGGAAAATGAAATATAAGAGCATATATAGAGCATGTGAGGGTATATAGGTCCAGGGGAAAAAAGACGCTACAGCCATAAAGAGTACTGGAATCTAATTTTCTGCTGTAGTTAATGTCTTTATAGATAATGACAAAACTCTAGAAAGTTTAGGTTGGGATTTCTGGATTTCTGCCCTCTAATTCGCAATGACCAGTAACAGACAACTGAATTTTGAAAAATCAAATCTACCCTTATAATCGAGACAATCTGAATAAATACCCATTTGTTTTTTCTTAATTTTACTTCTAATATAACTATCAATTTGCCATATCTACAGTAAAATTATCCACCAAAGAAACCATTATTTTATTGTAAATACAGTCATCCTGCTCTTCCTTCACCTCATTTTTCTCTCTCCATATGGTCCATTCTATTCTTGGTTTACATATAGGTCACGCTTTCCTTGTCTGGACTCTTAACAATGGTTCAGGCATTTGTCGAGCACTTACCATTTGCAAGATATTTTACTAGGACAATGTATAAATAATAATAGTCAAAATAAAAGGTAATACTTATCGAGTGCTTACAATTCTGCCAGACACTTTTCATGAATGAATCCATTTAATCTTCATGACACCCTATAAATAAGATATTATCGCTACTTTAAAAATGCAGAAACCAGTTTAGTTAGGTTAAACAATGCCTGCGTCCATACAGATAGTAAGCAGTGTGATGAGGGATTTTTTTTTTTTTTTTTTTTGGCTGCATTGGGTCTTCGTTGCTATGAGCAGGCTTTCTCTAGTTGCAGTGAACAGGGGCTACTCTTCGTTGCGGTGCGCAGGCTTCTCATTGTGGTGGCTTCTCTTGCTGGGGAGCACAGGCTCTAGGTGCGCGGGCTTCAGCAGTTGTGGTACGCGGGCTCAGGAGTCATGGCTCACGGGCCCTAGAGCGCAGGCTTAGTAGCTGTGGCGCATGGGCTTAGTTGCTCTGTGGCACGTGGTATCTTCCTGGACCAGGGCTCGAACCAGTGTCCCCTGGGTTGGCAGGCGGATTCTTAACCACTGTGCCACCAGGGAAGCCCCGTGATAAGGGATTTAAACGCAGTTCTTTCTGACTCAAGAGCTGAGCTCTCAGCCATTATGCTAGCTATGATCCTTTACCCTGCCTCTAAGAAGATACTGCCTAGTGGAGTATGTGCATGCACAAGTAATCAGTTTGATTTGGTAAGTGCCAATGAGAAAGGTCTTTTTTTCCCTCCTCTCCTCACTCCAAGTATTTTTTTTAAATCTATTTTCTAACTCACTTTTGAGTTTTACTAGATTCTGACTTTTGAGAATTACATCAGTAAATGGACATAGAAAAGGGAAAAGGAAGCCCTAAACTAATGAATATGAAATGTATTTTTATTTCAAATCGGTATAAATTTCTATATCAATAGGTATAGCCTCCACCACCCCCCTACAACAAAGCACCAGAATTTGTGTACTTTCAATAGTCTTTCCAGTATTATTTTTCACTTTAGTGCAGACTTCCCATCCAATACACCACCCTCACTAGATAATACTGTACGCTGCAGTCAGAAGCAAGTTCTATTACGGTTTCTAGAGCTCCAAGACATAATAAAACTAAATGGTTTCCCCCCTCTGACAATTAGGCCAATCGTATCTTCTGCTGCAAGACCCAGACTTGTGATCATGTATGAAGTGCCACGCATCATTTGAAGAATCCAACTCACTTGGGGAAGTGCTCATTTGGGGAAGAGTTCAATGTTGTTAGCACCGCGAGTGCCTTGCTCCTGTAGAGGGATGAATGAAGGGAGGGAGAACAAAGGACATGGGTTCTACACTAGATAGTGCCACTTACTATACAAATGTAAACAAATGACTTCTGAGGCTCAGGTTTCTTGCCTGTAAATGTGAAAGGATTTGACCAGATGAACTGTTAAGACTGCTCCCACCTCTTGAAGTTGGGCTCACCAACGCAGAATCAGATGATCTGTGTCCAAATCCTGGTTATGCTACTTGTGAACTACTCCGCACAGCTTTGGGCTAGTTGCACAATCTCCCTGATTTAATCCCTCATTTGATGATAGTATCTATTAGCCCCCTTTCCCTTTTTAATGAAGCCTAAATGAGATAATGCCTATAAGCATCCAACACAAAACCAGGCGTCTCAATCAACGCTCAACAAATATCGGTGTTATTACTCTGAGACTCTATGACTTACCCGGCCCCACTGCCCCACGTCCTCCTTCCCTTGTCACCTTGAGTTTAGCTCGTTTCCAGAAACCCTCTATTCACTTCCGCTCTTCACCTCGGACGCCAAAACCGTTCAAAGGTCTCCCGGAACTTCGTATCAGCCCCGGACTCCTCCCCCAAACTGGCGCTCCCATCAGCCCCGGACTCCTCCCCCAAACTGCGGCGCTCCCATTTCCTGCTGAATTTAGATCCGACTAGACGCCAACTCCGCGAAAAATAGTTCCGCTCGGAGCCCGGCGTCCTCTCTCGCAACTCCAGCACCAGCCGTCTCTTGTCTATTGAGCCCAACCGGCACCCGGCGCGGCGGAGCGCAGGAAGTGGGCGGGGCGGAACGGGGCGGGAGTTCCAGTAGGAGGCGGCAGGTTTGAAAAGTGACAACGGTCGGTGTTTGCTGATTTTTGAGTTCGTCTGTAGCTGCCCCGCGGACTCGCAGCCTTCCTGTGGGCGGCTGTTGCGGTAGGTGAGCGCAGACACTCGCGGACAGAGGACGCGAGACTGAGTGTGCCCTCTCGCTCCGGAGCAGCCGGCGGGAGCTGGGACGCGGAGCCTGGCAGTGTTTTCGTTACGCGCAGAGCTGGGGAGGAGGCTGGAGAAGCCAGCCCCTGGGAGGTGGGGGAAAGCTCGTAGGTCGTGTTTATTGGATTTTAGTCCCCCAAACAACCTGAGCCCAGTTCCTACGAAACGAATGGGTGTTTGCTGGTACAACATAGACTACGGGAAAAGAAACTTGAGGTGCAGCTGGTCAGTTAAATCTTGTATTTGTATATTTTTAGCCCAGTTATTTAGAAGCTTATGGGGTTGCAGATGCTGGTCCACTGTCTTTGTAGATAAGTCTCCGTTGCTCAAACATCGCTTAACCAAAGTCAAGCCCAAAAATCAAAAGGCAAAAATATCATACTTAATCCAAAAGTCAGAGGAAGAGAGCGGTGTATGCATGGCGCTTTGCATGCGTGGCACGATCATTTTCCCTGAATGAGTTCAGGAAACTGTTTACTTAATTTTTTGATGTTGGGAGTCTTTGAGTCTTTTCTCTTTGTTTTTGTTTAGCCTCTGCGTGGATTTTGATTTCCACGATCTAGTTTATTTTAGAAAAATGAAGTGTCTGAAATTTAATCAGTATTCTTTCAATACGTACTGTGCACAGGATCATGGTGTTGCAAATAAATGAGGAACGGAGGGGTAATTAGTAGTAAATGAGTGCTACTTGGTAGGCGATCTGAGGGTCACTTTACATATACTAGGTCATTTATATACTTTATCCCACCAGAGCTCAAACTGTATTGAAAGGCCTCTCTCTCCCTCTCTCCCCTCTGTCCTTTTCTCTCCCTCTTCTCTGTCCGGCACTCCCTCCCTCTCTACACACACACGTGAATGAATTGGAACTGAAGTTGTACTATCAAGGAAAGATAGAATTTGGATGTGGGAGGTGGTTCCAAAAGGAAACATTGGAAGTTTGAGAAACGTCTTGAAGGAGACTAACTTGTAACAGAAAATTCATTAGGTTATTTGATGTGGTAGGTAGGATGAGTAATTAAAGTATTTTTGTAAAGATGTCACATGATGCATTTGGTGTTCTATACAGATTCATCTGATAGCACAGTGTGCAAGACTTTAGAAAAGAGGGATGTGTGATAATAATTAATGAAGATATTTTACACCTCTTTCTCTATTGTGATCATCTCTGATCCAGATATAATTTGTTTGGAAAGTTGACTTTTTCTGCAGTCTTTGGGCAATTGATGATTTTTAAATCTATGACTTAGGTGAAAACATAGAATGCATATTTATGTTGAAAAGGACATATAATATATGAGGTGTCAGAATCTGGATCCATAAAGATTCTGGCTGTAGAAGGAAAGCTTGGAATTATGAAATTCAATAATAGGAAATAAGAATAATAGGAAATTCAATGATAGGAAATACAAATTACAAAATTCAATAATAGGAAATAGGAATAATGGGAAATTCAATAATAGGAAATGCAAATCCTTGCTTAAGGTTCAAATAATCAATTATGTAAAAAGAACATGGAGAAGTCCTGGCTTGTTGGCCACGAAGTCATGTAAGAATTCATGGAGAAGCGGGCTATATTGAAGAAGTTCTGGGAGTTCCAGTCAATCACACACACATATATACATTTGTCAGTAAGTGTTATAGTAGCACAAGATCAGCAGTGACCATCCTCAACTGTGTTGATATTCTGCCCTAAGCAGACCATGTCTGGAGTATTGTGTTCAATTTGAGCATTACACTTTAAGAAGACATTGACAAAACAGTTTTAGAGGAAAGTGAGTAGAATGGTAAACTTTCTAAAACAAAGTCATAAAAGGAGTGGCTATTCTTAAATTATACTTACCTTAGACAAGACAGGGCTAAGCAGAGATATGATAGCTTTCTTCATGTTTTTGAAAGTGGAGTCATAAGAACAAGGATTATTATATTCTATGTAGTTGCAATGACTAGAAGTAGAACCAGAAGGTAAGAGTTACAACAAACGTATTTCTACACAGTATGAGAGAGAGTTATCTGATTATTAGAGACATACTAAGGTAGACAGAAAGTTTCCTTGAGACAGTGAATTCTGTGATGTTTGCAAGTGTTTAAGCAGAACTGAGAAGTTATTTGTTAATCATCTTTTAGAATGGCTTCCTGCATTTGTCAGTGGTTAAAGTTGACAAGGCTGCCTTTTAACCCTGACATTCGGAGAAACATTAGGAGCCTAAAGAAATAGATTTCCAGAATTGTGGGTCATTTCAGTTTGTTTGCAAAAGTGAGTGTATTCACTTTGTATCTCTGGGATCACACTGCTTCCCTAGAGAGTAGGAGATCCATAAGTACTGGACCAAGTATTGTTAACTGAGTGGCGGAGAAAGTGGCGTCTCTTGCTGCTGCTTCTGCTACTACTGTTACTATTGCTATTCTGTTAGGCATAGCTAGAGATATGGAGAAAATGAAAGTGTCTTAGCTTACTGTTGGCTCACAGTGCAGTGCCAGAGTTCTATAAACATTATCACAATACACTGTGGCAAGTATTATAACGGAGTTCAGTGCTAGCTGTAGGGTAGGATTTCTTAACCTCAGCATTATTGACATTTTGAACTGAGTAATTCTTCGCTGCTGATTGGCCCCCTTATGCATTGCAGGATGTTTAGCAACATTCTGGGCCTGCTACCCACCAGATTCCAATAGCGTCCTCACTCTAGTCCTGACAACGAAAAGTGTCTCCAAAGTTGTGAGAACTACTGCTCTAGGAGAACACAGGTGGGAATATTTTACTGTCTAAGGACATTAGGGGAAATGGTTTCTTGTTTTATTTTATTTTTCAAGTTCTCACTCTAGTGATTGGAATTCCTGCCAATTACAGTTGTTTTTTTTTCTCTCTCTTTCTACTTACATCTCAAACCTTATTAATCATCTCACTGTGTGTACATTGAATAGAATGTTAAATCAGAGTACAGTTTTATTATTTATGCTGTTTTGCTGTTGTTTGTGTATAGATTCTGCTGATAGTGTCGTCTATATATCTTGCTTTGAGAATTAATTCTCAGGATAGATCTTATTAAACTCTGTGCCCCCCAGATTTAAAGAAGTTTCTCATCTGTCTGTTCAACCTGTCTTCTTTCCCATATGAAAGAAAACAGCATTAGGAAAACTAGAAAATGACTGTGTTGCTTTAGAATAAAAGTTATTTTAGGATATATATATATATATATATATATATATAATATTTTTTTTTTTTTTGTCTTTAATGTTATCTTACTAGGATGTTTGATGATTTGGTGGTAGTTAACACTACTATGAATATAGTTCAACCTTGGGTTGTTAATTTTGTCCTTATATTTATCAGCTTCTAGGTAATGAAAATTGCTAGTTGTGCCATGTTTCTGATCTTTGTTTTCAATTCCTTCAGACTAACAGGAGACTCCCAAGATGGAAACTTTGTCTTTTCCCAGATATAATGTAGCTGAAATTGTGGTTCATATTCGAAACAAAATCTTAACAGGAGCTGATGGTAAAAACCTCTCCAAGAATGATCTTTCTCCAAATCCCAAGGTAAAATGTGGTTGTGTTTGCATGTGGTTAATGTTATTTGAAAAGAAATTAAACTACTAGGTCTATAGAATGTGGAGAAAGACATGTATATTACTATTTGATATAGGCTAGTCATCTTAATCCAGAGAAACTCTCTCACCTAGTGTAATTTTAAAATAACATTAAATTTATATGTGGGGCAACTTCTACATTCCCGTTAGGAATTCAAATCTTTAATATGGTTGTTTTCTCCCCCCTGCCCTGAAAGAAAAGCTTCTAAACCATAGGCATATTAAAGTACTTTTCATTATCGGAGTAGTAGTGGTCTGAGGGTATCATTTATTGGTAAAGCTTGAAGGAACTTAACTCCACAAGTGGTTTCCAATTAGAAAAAGTGCTTAGAAACAGTCTTCTTTGGAAGCTTACAGATTAATTTTCTTGCATTATGCCCCAAGGGGGAATTGACTTGTTTTGACAGACACTGTTCTTTATATCTTTAGTTATTAAATGCAAAAAAGAAGTATTCATGTGTCACAGGAAATCCCAAAGTCTCCTTCCAGTTTCCTGTGTTCATCTTGAAGTGATAACATAATAAAACCTGGTTTAATGATGTAGAACTTAAACTTTTTGATATTGATGCCTCTTTAATTCTTTAAAATAGAACAAATAATCTCAGAATAAATGAACTTGTATATGGATGAGAACAGGTTCTATAGGCCAGCATTTGGGAACCACTGATTTAGAAGATAAAAGTTAAAAATCCCATACTATCCTATTAAATTTATACCTCCTGGATCATAGTAGTCACTTTAACAGCTAAGGCATCTTAGCCTTAACATCTGAGGCATCAAACAAGGTTTCCCATGTTCTTTTTAAAAAAATACACCCTCATTATTTTTGTCATATGTCTGACAACCTGTTTTGAAAGACTAACCCATCTTCCATTCCCTAATGTGGATAGATTGCCTGGACTGGATTTGAATATACTTGCTAACATTCTGTATATAAGCTTAAACAGCTGATCTTATTGACACTTATCACATGTGAGCAAACTGATAAGTATATAAGGTGTTTTAAAATTTGGAAAAATTAGGAAATATTTCAAGGGGAATGGAGTAATGTTATCACTCTTTTCTTCTTTGTATCCATTTACTATAATATTGGACAATAATGGTGATAGTGGTGCAACAGAGTATTAAAAGTTATTTTTCTATTGTAGCCTGAAGTCTTGCATATGATCTACATGAGAGCTTTACAGATAGTATATGGAATTCGACTGGAGCATTTTTACATGGTGGGTTTAAGATGAGGCAAAATTATGTTTTTTGCTGCATTTCTCATGCTCACATTGAGTACTGGTTTTCAGGACAGGAAGTTCTTGACTTTATTTTTAACAAAATCAAGGCTTATTTAAAATTAATGTCACACAGGAATCTTAGGCATAATAATGGCCTATACTGATAGCTTTAGTAAGATGAAAACTATTACTAAAGACCTGAATGACACAAGTTATTGATGCTATGCAGTTATTGACAGATTTACAGTTTGTCTTCAGAGACTATAGTAAGCAACAACAAAGTCTTTACAGATACTGTTCTCTTCTCAGTAAGGACTTCCAAATTAGAGTAGGAGATACACTAAAATTGAAAACAATTGAAATAAGGCAATTGAGCTTTTAGCAAATTAGGTATTTCTAGTAGGAAGATTATTTTTCGTAATCTTTTTTTGCTGTTGTTGTTAAATCATCAGGGCATCATCTGAAGATGTACAAAAATGTAATATCTGTAGAGTCTCACCAATATTATATATTATTTAAAAATCAAAGGGTTTGTCACTTATTTGCTATGAAACCTTGCTAAAGCTTAGTTTCTTTGTCTATAAAATAGGGATAGTACTCTGTCCTACTGTGGTTATAAAAATTAAGAAAGAATATTTTGAAAATGCTTAGCATAATACCTGATATTTAGTAAATGCTAACCATTACCCCTTTATTTATTTTTAACATCTTTATTGGAGTATAACCCCTTTATTTTTAAATTCATTTAAAAAGTCTTTATTGAGCACTGACTGTGAACCTATCGTTATTAATATTAATGACAACTCTAGTTTTGTGCCAGGATCTGTATTGTTTGCTTGTTTGTTTTAAATTAATGATAATAAGTTAATATATTTTGATTGTAATCTATGATTAAGGTTTCTTGAGGTTGAAGATTTTTCTCATTTTGTCTAATCAATGTGTAACTTAGATTTTCTGGTTTATTACATTTAGATGCCAGTGAACTCTGAAGTCATGTATCCACATATAATGGAAGGCTTCTTACCAGTCAGCAATCTGTTTATTAATTTGTGAGTAAAGAGTCATCATTTTCTTAGTCCACGTTCGTATTTACATTACATTCAGCTTTCTTAAAGACATGATTTTCTTTGGGAGGGAATTTCTACTATTTTTCTTTCTACTCCATCCCATAAATATCCAAGATTGTACACTTTCAGCAAACACAGCTAACTGCCTCCACCTGTGGCACCTTCAGTTCATTCAGCTGATGTATTAAGATATTGTGAGTCTAAAATTGTTGGAGGGTTTTGCATTCTTAGAGAGTCCTAGTACCTCAGAGAGTGTGGGTTGTTTATTAGAATCTATAACGATACCTTGGTATTACATGAATATTTGTGTAATATACAGAAAAAGTAGATTTCAGTGCTGTAGGATTATATATTGTAGTAGACTTCTGACTTGGTCCTTTGACATTGAGAAATATATCCAGAAATCTTTTTGAAAATAAGATGTTTATGCCCTTTGGCTTAGTATGTAATTCACAGTACACTTTTCAATATGCTTGCTCCACTTTATCTTCAAGGGACTCATTTCTGCCCATCTGTCGGGTGAATGACTTCGAGATTGCTGATATTCTATATCCAAGTAAGTGAGAATTTAAAACAATTTTTAACGTTTGGCTTCAATCTAACATTTTACATTTCCGTCAATAAATGAAAAAAAAGAGAAAAGACTTGAAGGAACTTGGATTTAGAAAGTATATCTGATTCTCAGGGATGAATTTTTTCATATCCTATTATTGGAAATTTTTCCTTTTTAAAGCCACAGAAAAGCTGTTTTTCTGATTAGTTTTTCTTAACTCCTTACATTTGAAAAATGTCCTGTAAATTTGAGACTATGAATACAAATAATATGCAAGCTATGATGTTGCATAGTGGGTTAATTATACCAGTTTTATCAAATGTAGTAATTACTTTTTACCGTGAAGAAAGTACCTTTTAGCACTGACAATAGTCATGATATTATATTAAAATGTAAAATTCTCCTAACTTTGTGTCTGTTTATTCATTTGACCCTTCTGTATTTATATATCAGGTTATCTTATGTTGGAAGATATTTGGTGTGCTATTTAAAAATTTGTTTTTTATCCTCTTTTGGATCTCCTCCTTTTTTTGTTGTTGTTTATTGACATATAATTTACACAAAAGTTCACCAATTTTAAATGCATAATTGAATAAATCTTAACAAATATATACAGTTATATAACCAGTGCCACAATCATGACCCCCCAAAGTTTCCTGACATCTTTGAAAAGATGTCTTTTCAAAGCAAAATATATTTCAATTTTGAATATTCTAATTGATCATTGTTTTTCTTTTGTCATTCATAAAACTATTTTTTGTGTTCTACCGAGAAATCTTGGCCTCAAGGATTTATTTGGCTAAATTTTATCCTATATTTTGCTGTAAGTGTATTGTAGTTTCAGCTATTATTGTTTAATGCCTGAATTTTTGTATATCATCTGAGGCAAAGGTCAAGGTTCATTTTTTTTTCCTTTACGCATATGGTTATAAAATTATTCTAGCACCACTCATTGAAAAGATTATCCATTCCCCATTGAATTACCCTGCACTTTGGTCAAAAGTAATTGATTAACCACTGTACGTCTATTAGAATGGCAAAAATCGAAAACACTGACAATACCAAATGCTCATGAGGATATGGAGCAACAGGAACTCTCATTCACTGCTTGTGGGAATGCAAAGTGGTATAGTGACCTTGGAAGACACTTTTCAGTTTCTTACAAGACTAAATGTATTCTTACTGTATGATCCAGTAGTCATGCTCCTTGGTATTTACCCAAATACCAAGTGTTGAAAGCTCATGTCCACACAAAAACCTGCAAACAGATATTTGTTGCAGCTTTATTCATAATTACCAAAATTTAGAAGCATCCAAGATGTCCTTCACTAGTACATCAAGACAGGGGAATATATTCAGTGCTATAAATAAATGAGCTATCAGGCAATGAAAAGACATGCAGGAATCTTAAATGCATATTACTAAGTGTAAGAAATCAATCTGCAAAGGCTATTTACAGTACCATTCCAATTATGACAATCTGGAAAAGGCAAAACTTATGTAGATAGTAAAAAGATCATTGTTTGCCAGGGACTTGGGGGAGGGAAGAATGGATAGCCCAGGCACAGAGGACTTTTAGGGCAGTGAAACTATTGTGTATGATACTATTGTGTCATTATATATTTGTCAAAACCCATAGAATGTCTAACTCCAAGAGTGAACCCTAATGTGAACTATGGTCTTTGGCTGATAATGATGTCTCAGTGTAACAGATATACCACTCAGGTGGGGGATGTTGATAGTGGAGTAAGCTGTGCGTGTACAGGGACATAGCATATATAGAAACTACTTTCTGCTCAATTTTTCTGTGAACTGAAGTGCTCTAAGAATTCTGTTTTAAAAAGTCAATGATCATATATATATATGAGTATATTTCTGGCTTCACTCTTTGCTCCATTGATCTATAAAAAGTCAATGATCATATATATATATATGAGTATATTTCTGGCTTCACTCTTTGCTCCATTGATCTATATAGCATACTACTTTGATTACTTTAGCTCTGTAGTAAGTCTTGAAATCAGACAGTGGAAGTCCTGCAACTTTGTTCACTTTTTCAAAATTGTTTTAGTTATTCTGGTCTTTTGTATTTCCATATAAATTTTAGAATCAGCCTGTCACTTTCAACCCCCCTCCACTCCCCATAGCCTACTAGAATTTTGACTGAGATTACTTTGAATGTATAGTTCATTTGGGGGATAATTGACAACTTGATAATATTGGGTCTTCTAATCCATGTGTATATCCCTCCATTTATTTAGGTTGTCTTTAATTTTTCACAACAGTGTTTTATAATTTTCAGAGTACAGGTCATATACATTTTGATAAATTTATCCCTAAGTACTTCAATTTTAAGGGATATTGTGAACTTCTTTTAAATTTCTGATTGATTGGTCATTGCTAGTGTAGAGAAACAATTGATTTTTATATATTGACCTTATTTCTAGTAGGTTCTTTAAAATAGATTCCTTAGGGTTTTCTACATGGACAATCATATTGTTTGAGAACAAAGGCAGTTTTACTTCTTTTCCAGTCTAGATGTATTTTACTTATTTTTCTTTCCTTCTGCAGTGGCTAGGACTTCTAGCATAATGTTGAATTAAAATGGTGAGAGCAGGCATCATTGTCTTGTTCCTGATCTTAAGGGGAAAGCACTTAGGCTTTCACGAGTAAGTATAATGTTAGTTTTAGGATTTTCTTAGATTGCCTTTATCAGGGTAAGCAACTTCTATTCCTAGTTTGTTTCGTGAATGGGTGTTGACTTGTTTTAAATTGCTTTTCTGCATCTAGTGAGAAAATCAAGTGGTTTCTCTTTTTCAGTCTAGTGGATTACATTGTTTGATTTTTGAATGTTAAACCAACTTTGTATTCAGGATGAACCCCATTTGATTATGATACATTATGTTTTTTAATATATTGCTGGATTTGATTTGCTAATATTTTGTTGTGTTTTTGTGATGATGTTCATAAGGGCTACTGGTCTGTAATTTTACTGCAGTGACAGACTTTGGATATCAGGGTATCACTGGCCTCTTAGGATGAGTTTAAAAAGATTCCCTCTTTCATTTCCAGGAATAATTTTGTAAAATTTGTGTTATTTCTTCCTTAAATGGTTGGTAGAATTCACCAGTAAATCCATCTGGGACTGGAGTTTTCTCTGTGAGAAGGTTTTAAATTAATTAATAATTCAATTTTTTTTTAAAATAAATAAAGGACTACGCTGTTTGTTTATTCCCAAAGCTACTGAATGAGCTTTTGTAGGCTACCTTTTTCAGCAAGTTTATCCATTTCATTTAAATGGGCAAGTTTATTAACATAAAGTTGCTCCTAATTTTCCCATATCATTTTAATAGTCTTTGGGATTAGTAGTGATATCCCATCTCTCATTCTGACATTAGTAATCTGTTTTTTCACTCTTTTGTTTTTCCCTGATCAGTCTGGCTAGAGGTTTATCAATTTTGTTGAGCTTTTAAAAGAACTAGATTTTTGTCTCACTGATTTTTATGTATTTTATTTCTGTTTTCTGTTTTATTGGTTTTTGTGCTATTGTTATTCCTTCTTTTTTCATACTTGCTTTGGGTTTGCTCTTCTTTTTTCTCTCCTAGTTTTTTAAAGGTTAGAAGCTGAGGTCATCAGTTTGAGATCTTTCTTCTTTCCTAAATAGGTGTTTAGTGCTAATAAATTTCCCTTTAGCCCTGCTTTAGCTGTGCCCCACAGACTGATTATAGATGGTTTCGTGTGTGTGTGCAAACGTGCATGTGTACACGCACACGTGCATTTTGGATTATAAATTTAAGCTC